TCTTTGATTCTTTCTTTGCTGTGCCCCTCGCCCCCCACATCCCCCACCCCCAGTCCAGTCAGTCACCAATTCCTGTTGATTATACCTTTGGAATCTCTCTTCACTTTCTCCATTCCTTCCTGTTCCCATTGCCACTGCCTAGTCTGGCAGCTCATCTGCTCATTGCCAGATTTCTACAATGCTCTCCCTCCTTCCCTTTCTTCTCATACAGTACAGTACGGAGAGTCCTAAAATATGCAAGTATTTCTCTGCTCTTACTGTAGAGCAGAAGACACTCTGTGTGCCTGTAGTCAAAGCTGGTTAGTATCTTCAGCTCTGTGTATTTGTAAAATAAAGATCAAATTTCAAGTGTTATGAGGATTAGATAACATACGTGAAGTTGCTTTGTGAGCTATAAAACACTAAAGAAGTGTTATATGTGGAAATTTTCAGGCCACTTTGTCACTAGGAAATGCCCCCACCATCACCACCACATGCTTCAACAACTTATTTCCCTGGCTCTTGAACCTTTATGATATAGCCCTATCAGATCTGAGACCTGAGCGAATTTCCATCAGTAATTTGACCTGCAGATTCCATTCAAAGTAGTCCATTCAGTACCTTCTGACCCTTGGAACACAACACTTTCATTTCTGTTTCATGTGTTTGCTGGTTTTTCCTCTCCCTACCCCACACCACACTGTCTGCACTGGATGCTCTCTTCAGCGCTCATGATACAAATCCATGCCCAGCTGTTTCCATGCCTCTGTGAAACCTTATTCTATGCTTCCTGTTAACCTCCCCAAAGCACACACACCAGTCTTCATCATCCAGCTAGACATGTAATTTATGCCATTCTACTAATTGTTTATGTAAATAGCTCCCTGAAGCATACCAGAGTTTGCACTTTCTTTTGTATTTTACACAGGGCCTAGCACAGACTTTTCTCATTGTGCATGCCATTATTATACCAGGGTAAATCGGTAACAAAGAAATACTCAGTATAGCTTCAAAGTCCTTCATTCCAGAAACGGCCAATCTTTGGTCACTCCATCCAGTGGTTGGCTATGGACAAGGCCTATGATCCCAAAAGCAAACACCTTTTTGATAAAACATGACCAGTTAGGTATTACTTCTTAAATGTGAATGCCAGCTGTAAAACTGAGCTCTGTGTCCCAGCATATGAAAATCAAATGACACACATTCAACGGTAATGTTTACTAAAACTCTAATAGAAAACCAAATACTTCACTTTTCAACAGTGCATTACCATAACCTCCAAGAATATTGGCCTTTTAAAAGTGTAAACAGGGATCCCTGGGTGGCGCAGCGGATTGGCGCCTGCCTTCGGCCCAGGGCGCGATCCTGGAGACCCAGGATCAAATCCCACGTCGGGCTCCCGGTGCATGGAGCCTGCTTCTCCCTCTGCCTATGTCTCTGCCTCTCTATCATAAATAAATAAAAAAATTTTAAAAAAAAAGTGTAAACAGTATTGCAACTTTACAGAAATGATTCACATTTATTTATATGGGTAGTGACTGGGCTTGAAAACCAAGCATACTTGGTAAATCCAGAAGCCTTGATAAGCAGACTGAACTTCACTGTTATTCTTCTACTGGGGTAGGGTTATAGTTCTGAATTCCATGTGATTATTCACAGATATTTCATGATGTTGAAACAGACAGTGTAATAATTCAGCTATCCAACTGCCCACCTCTGTATGACGATGTCAAAGTGCAATTTTTCTCTTCTTCGGGGAGTAATCAAGAAAGAACCTATGCCAGTATTCTCATCTGGACTATTGAATGATTCTGATTTAGGATTTCCTTTGCTACAATTCCCAGCAAGGAATATGATAGGAAATATCAACCCCTGGCCAGGGAGGGGGAGAAAAACAGGTCAGGTCTGTAACAGTTTATAAAAAGAACACAGGTAAAGAGTTTTTGGCTCAGTTTTTTCTAAATTCTATACAACTTACATCATATTTTCAAATAAGAAAAAAACCAAGGCATATCTACTGCATAGCAGTGATCACATTTTTGTTTTGTATCTTTAAAACACATGCTCCCACAATTTTTTTTAAGATTTTATTTATTCATGAAAGACACAGAAAGAGAGGCAGAGGCACAGGCAGAGAAGCAGGCTCCATGCAAGAAGCTCAATGCAGAACTTGATCCCAGGACCCCAGGATCATGCCCTGAGCCAAAGGCAGATGCCCAACCGCTGAGCCACCCAGGCGTCCCTGCTCCATAATTTATAAAGACTTTAAAATGAGGGAGATTTGACTTTCCTTTGAGTTGATAATTGTATTTTAATCCAATATTTAACTTACGAAAAGAATGTTTGCCATTGTCCTTACTCTGAAAACCATGAGTAATTTCCCCTGAGCAGTCACAAAGTATACAAGTGTTATTCTGTATATAACAAATTTCTAGGCCTTAGTGGTTGTTTTTCTATTAAAATCATCAAGCAGAACTGCCTACAATTAACGAGGTTGATCAATTTAAAGTTTGTATCCTGTGCCCTCCTTCACCACCTGCTTGCCCCGTGGTGAGAGCATCTGTTCCACAGTGAAATGTTATGTCATACCGGATGGCCATCCTTTGATTACTGAAGCCAGTCTGAACTCTCTCAATCAGTGGTCTCTAAGCAGCAGCACCAGTACAAGAAGTACTGGTCCAGGCAGTGTTGCTAATTTTGTGATTTTTAGGGGCCATGAAATGAAAACACTTTCAAAATATGTAGGTATTCTTATTTAAATACTGACAGTTATCAATGTAGCTGTTCCTTGTGGAAGTGGACGATCTCTTTGGGCATAAATGGGCATCAGTCTCTGGTCGACACTATGTCAACTAGGAGACTATTGACTATTTCCTTAAATTTTGATAGAAAGAGCAAGAGAAAGAACCAGGCATTTCTTAAAGCCTCCTCTGCTGTGTCATGAAAGATTACAGACTATTAAATGCTATGCATTTAATGGCTCTAGTTGTTTGACAAATACAGAATTTTAACCCCTTTATTTTTCATAGAAATGATACTAAAAAATTTTTTTTAATTTTAGGATCTTCCTAAATACTATGACAACTGCCCATTTTTCTTTTGGTTCCACACATCTTTTATACAAAATAACAGGTATGGCTCCGATACAATCCAGTTGAATACCCCTTAATCTCCAAGGTCTGTGTAAGGCATAATGGCAATCCTATGCTCAATTTACAGAAACCAAGAAATCCTCAAGTCCCCCATTCTTCATTGTCTTTTTCCTCTGAATCTGGTCATGTAAAACATGGGCTATTCTTAAGAACCACTGTTGCATGATCCTCAAGGCCCATGCCATAGGACTGTCACATAAGTTAAAACATAATCTAATCAGATCTTGAGTATGGTAATAAATCCCTCCCATGCAAGTTTAATATGAGTCTGCTCAGTCACTGACTACAGCAGGTTCTCTGTATGTTAACTTACTGACCATCCACCAAATTCTATGCCAAAAAGTCAGGCATCCTCAAGGAAGGCTTCAGCTAGTTTAAAGGTGGTATGTAGATCTAGAGTGGCAGAAATTTATGACACAATAAGCATCAATGAAGACAGCTTCAAGAGAATCCTAGTATCCCAGTTAAAAATGATTTTCTAGTGGCTAAATTGGGAAACCACTTTTTAAAAAGTAATAACTATTATTCCAAGGAAACTTCTTCCCTATCTGCAAACTCATTCCTGAGTCTAGAGGGTCTCTAGAATTCTAGTACTTTAAGGAGTATTCTTTGGCACTGAGAATTTGAGATGTATTGGTTATCACCCCAATACATCTCATGTATCATCCAATACAAAAAAGGAAAAATATCCAAAGAAATGAGTTTTGAAGTAGTTGTGATTGTATGTGGCATGAATTAATAATTCTCATTATATACAACCCTAGTCTTTTCTTCAAATCTGAACATCTCACCATACCTCATATCCAGTAAGGCAATAATAAATGGAACATCTGGTATACATACTTACAATACACATATTTCATGGGTAGAGAAACTTTGGCTTTGATGGAAAATTTTTAACAATTTTTCCCGGGGTGTATATAAACTTTTACTCATAACATGGATGAAGTCCCTCAGGTAGAACTTTATCTGGTGCTGCTCCTCCAGAGTAGTTCTTGGTAAGGGGTACAGTTTTTTCCTTTATAACCCCACGATCATATTGGAGGCAGCCCATTAGATCACTTTTCTCACTTTCACAGGTTCCTAATTTTCCCTACTACTAGGGAGAACAGTTTTATTTGCTCCACAGTGGTTAATAAGTCAAAAATGCCCCTATCCTCATGTAAGAGACACTATTTTACTGCTTGATTTTAATTCACATCTAGTCTGATTAATAAATTGCCATATGAAAAGTCAAATGTCACTACTGCCATAGAAGGCAATGTGAGAAGAATCAGGGACAAGTTGTTACTGATGATTAAGATTTTGTTCGCAATGGAAGGGAGGAGTGGGTTCTCAGCAGGCTTCCTAGGAGCCAGGAGAGGGGCCAGGGTCATCAACTGAAACGAGGTTTCTTCTTTTCTAGGCTTTATCTTTCAAGAAGCGAATTGGATAATCCCCATAAACAAAAAACATGGAAAATTTACCGTCCACAGTTCGCAGTCGAGGTATATTTTGATGAAGTAGTAGCTGGTACCTGATCAAGTAGAGTTCCCTTTCTAGGACAGAATCATGTTCTCCACCCCACCACCACATATTTATATCTTCTAAACCTACTTGCTTCCTGGTATACTTACATTTACATTTATGTACATATGTTTTTGAGAAACCTTAAATATATACAAAGTAAAATATCAGTGGTGCTTTTTATTTTTTGAAGGAGTTCTGTCAGGTTGAGATAACTACTGTTCTGTGGTCCAAATTTAAGAGCTTTGAAGTAACAGAACTTTCATATCAAAATAGCATTTAAAAATTGTGACTCCTCACAATATTGAGTGAGGTTTATTACATATTTTTAGATAAGAATTCCGTGCTTTACATTTGTAATTTCAGCTAAGAAAAGTTGTTTCTATTTTCTTCCTCTACTTGTTTGTTAATAGCTTATAAATCATCAGATTGGCATCAAAACTTGTTTTAAATCCCTAGAACTGTTCCCACAAGCAGTCCCACCAGTGCTTAGGCTATATGCTTCCTTTAATTATACAGTTTTTGGGGAAGGCAAGACAAGTTTGGTAAATATAAGCAGAAGTTACTGAAGATTATCTTTTTCATAACATGACAAGTGAAGTCAAAGGAAATGTTTGCCTAGAAAAATCTAGATGATTTTAAAATCCACCCCCTCCCTTACCACAACTTCACTTACATTTAGGGAACTCTGAGAAGGAAGGTCAACTTCTCATTATAAACACTCCTTAGTCCTGGCTGCACATTCTAAGTATCTTCACTGTATCTTAATTGTCCTTATTTATGGACACGCCCTGGATGCAGATGCTCTTTTTCCTTCTAAATAGTCCTCAAGGGGGATCCCTGGGTGGCGCAGCGGCTTGGCACCTGCCTTTGGCCCAGGGCGCGATCCTGGAGACCCGGGATCGAATCCCACGTCGGGCTCCCAGTGCATGGAGCCTGCTTCTCCCTCTGCCTGTGTCTCTGCTTCTCTATCATAAAAAAATAAAAATAAAAAAAATAAAAATAAATAAATAAAATAAATAGTCCTCAAAGGGTCTTAGCTGCCAGTGCAACAGCCCACCTAAAGGCTTTTTGCTTTTCTAAGTTATTCTGCTCCCCTTCGAGGAACATGCTTTAAGTTCTTTCCATGTTCTGACTACATTACTTGCTGTAATTTGTGTCACAGAAACATGTTGTGGCTGAACAACTTGTACTGTTCCCTTGAAAATGCATGAGCCATAAGCCAGAGAGGGCAGACCAGGTGGCAGCCTTAGATAAATAGAGGGAAAATACTTTGTTGGCCATAGGAAGGAAACCCCAATTTTTAAGACTCTTGCTTTTTGAAATAAGATTATAGTTAGGATTTCTCCTCCCTAACCCTCCAAGATGCATTATGAGTTGCCACATTCTTGTGCTTTTACTCATAAGAGAATTATGGGAGTTGCCCCCTTAGAACCTGATGTAAATACTTCCTTAGACACTTCAAGAATGTTATATCAGAATGATACTGGTTTTCTCAAATGGAATTTACTACCCTGGAATAGTATTATCCGAAACTTAATAGCAACTTTTTTTTTTTTTTAAATAGAACAGCATCCTGCCATGTCAGTCCCATCACACGCCTAGCCAGGCAGAGAAGAATAATGCTAGTAGGCCAACTTTCACAATTGTAGTGTATATTTAAAAACACGTTTGTCACTTTACTTGCAGTGAAATTATTTTACATCAGGAATACTGCTGACGAAAAAAACAATGCTCAGGGGTGCCTGGGTGGCTCAGTGGTTGGGCATCTGCCTTTGGCTCAGGGCATGGTCCCAGAGTCCTGGGATAGAGCCTCACATTGGGCTCCCTGCTCAGTCTGCTTCTCCCTCTCCCTCTGCATGCACGCTTAACAAAAAGAATGCTCAAATAAATCTTAACAAAAAGAACGCTCACTGCAATAAAACCACCACCCTGAAATATTACTATACATAACTGAAACATTCCGGACAGTTGGTTCCTAGCATGTCAAGTACTTAAAACTCATCATATACTCAAATATTAGGTAAATAATTTAATGACAGAACAGAATTGCTTTAGACACGATTTCAAGTTACTGTTTTTGTCTGGAGTACAAAGCCGAAACATACAAATCGTATCCAAATACCAAACCATGAATTAAACAAACAGAATAAAAAAAACAGTAATTCCCTTGATTAAGATTTCATTCCTTACTATTCCTTTTACTTGCCTCAGATTGTTGCTATTACAGATATTTAGTTAAAACTTTAAAGGACAACATGTGAGAAGGTCCCCTGCCAACGGGCCTTACTCAGATGGGCTCACAGGCACCAGGCAGAGGCTCACAGATTCTGAAGTAATTCACTTCCTGCTGGAAGCCAGCTCCATTTTCTCTTTTGCTTCAGTCCAGGCCTGTCCAGATGAAGCACCACTCAGTAGCTGCTATTTAAGAATGGAAAGAAAAGGTAGAAAAATGGTTTTCTTTCAAGGAAAAAGCAGAGGGCAGACCAGCCACTGCTCTGGACCATCAGCAGCTCACTTCCCGGACCGTCCTGCTTTTGGCACATGGCTAGAGTTAGCACAGGGGCTCTGCAGAGAACAAAAAGCTGAAGGGAACCAGAGATTTCACTCAAGGCTTAACATTGTGCCAACAATGACAGACACACGGGACAGACATTAGCAGTGTCAGCCTGCTTGCTTTCAGCCTTATAGGCTACTTAAGAACACTTGTTACTGAGGGAGCCCCTGCTGGTCTTGGAGCAGCATGGAATGAGGAGGCTTACCTAAATGGTGACAGGAAGGATCCTCTTACACCAAGTGACCTGGGATCTTGTGGTTGCTGTTAGTGCATACATATGCCATAGCTTAATAAAATCACTGCTTATTTCATTACTTTATGAAGTCACCCCCTGTATGCAATCATCATGAAAATCCACGGACTGCCAGTACCAAATGTAAAAGGCTCCAGCACTATAAGAAACACGGCAAGCCGTTATGGATCACAAGATAAACTTAAGGGTCAGCCCCAACATCACTCACTGTGGAGGACAAGCACTATGTTCTGTCCAGTTCCATCAGAGGAGGACTTTGCCCACAAGTGCTGTCATTCAGGCACCAGACAGGGAACAAGGGCTTCTCAGCTTTGGCACTCTGCTCCCTGGAAGGGTTTCTGATTGTGGAGGCAGTGAGTGGTCCAGAGTGGATCAACAGCCCGGAGACGGTCCAAAGAAATACTCTGGAATCCTACTCAGACCAGGACCCAGAGCCAGAAACTAAGGGCTACCACCAGTCAGAGGTCTTCACAAAGCATAGTAGTATCGCCCCTTCCCCTCCAGCCTTCCCCTCAACCTAAAGCAGCCCAGCAGAGGGGAAGTTCTTTGGGAGAGAAGGGAAGCTGCCACAGGTGAAGGTCGTGCTGCTCTAGCCACACCTGACATGCAACAGGTGTAGAACATGATCCCATCTAGAAAACGAATGGCACTATTTTAACAGTAGGACATCTTGGGAAAATCCAAGGTGCTTACTCTCAACTTAAATCATAACATGGAAGCCATACCGGTACACAGGTGTGTTCTCCTCTACAAAATCTACATGGATATTTTAGTTTTCAAGCACCACAGAAAAACTTCTAAAAAACTTTAGCCTCTTAGTGCAGTACGTGTACTAAGCACATTTTAGGAGACCCTACATCTAGAATGAGTTAAGTAATCATTTATAGTCATCTCCATGAAACATGATTACCTCTGACTTTACTAGTGAGATCTGAGATTAAACATGGAACCAAATTGTGCTTTACTAACAATGTGTAACCATCCAAACTGCATGGAAACATACAGGTTTATGCCAAAGCCCTGACAGAACTATATTTAGCCTTTCAGATTATCATTAGGGCCAGCAGCTCACTCTCAATGTCCCACCAAGGACAAGTGCAGCAACTTTTCTATTTCAATACAATTACAGACAGAAATTATAGAATATAAAATAGAGCCCCTTCCATAAAGTTTAAGATTTAGGGTAGAATAAGGGAAGACCAAAAAAAAAAAAAATCAAAACTCATATGAAATCAAACTAATTCCACATTGGTCTTGTACTCCATGAAACCCTGAGATGAACTGTAGTCCTCAAATGCCTATGCTTGGAATTCAGTTCACTAGGACACTTCAGTAGGCTTCAAACTGGCTCATCATCAGCTTCCTGCTGTATTCATAGGCCAAAAACAGTGCCCCGTTGGCAGGGAACGCTCGAATCATAGTAGGCTTCAGTCCAGAATATAAGGCTGTTATTCCTAGAAGACAAAAAAGTGATCAAAGACTGAGATGCCCTTCCTTAGACCCCGTGAAGCCGCAGAGCACGAGGCTGGACACCTACAAATCCAGACAACGCACTGAACACCAACAAGTAATAGGATTTCTCTCTAGGATTCCCTGGACTAATGGGAACAGAAGAGACTCATGGAAACAAAGACAGGAGTCAGGTCTCCCAGCAAAGCTGGGTGATGCTCAGGTACTATGCACTAATCCCATGCCTGGTTCACTCCCGGTAGATATATCGAGCAGAGCAGAGGCCTCACTGGGCAGACAGAAGGAACCCCAGGGCCACAGGGGGTGGCAGCTTCACAGTATCACCTGGGAGGAAAGGACCTGGAGACATCAGGCAAAAAGCAATGGTGCTCAAGTCAGAGTCTGGTGTCTACTGCTGGTGCTGCCCAAGGTGGTTATGAAGATCCAGGTGGCTGAGGGAGGTGTAAGTACTTTGTGAGACTATGAAATGTCATGCAACTTTGGGATATGAACTTAACTGTTTTCACACACTGTGACTGTGCTCGCTCTCAAAATCAACACATCCCAAGGTATAACATGTATAGTGGATGCTGGAAGGCCAGGTCTTTACTCACTAGTGGCAGGACACTGGCTTTATACAAACATCACATAGAAAATCTTTATCCTCTTGCCTAAGTCTCAAAATTAACAACAAATCACCTTCAGAAAGTCTTAGCTTAGGGATGTGGTGCACGTTCTTTTAAGTCCCTTAGTATTTCTGTTGGAAATCATTTTCTGATACTACCTCTATTCTATAAAACAAGTGGTGCTGACCTCAAAGCATGTGGCCCCTCAGGCACAGTTTATATTGTAAAAAACTCCCTCTATGCTATTTAGAAGAATCCTGGCCCAGAAGTGAGGAATAACAACTTTTTTTTTCTTTTTCTTTTCTTTATTTTTTTTAGGAATAACAACTTTAAATATTCTTGAGAATAAGCTAAAGGGGTTTGGATACGGAAACAGCACTAGAAAAAGGATAGGAGGAGCACCTGGGTGGTTCAGTGGTTGAGTGTCTGTCTGTGGCTCAGGTTGTGATCCCAGGATCCTGGGATCGAGTCCCTCATCAGGCTCCCTGCATGGAGCCTGCTTCTCCCTCTGCCTGTGTCTCTGCCTCTCTTATGAATAAATAAAATCTTAAAATAATAAATTCTAAAAATTAAGAAAGAAAAAAGAGAGGAGACAGGGAAGAGGTACACACACGACCTCAACCTTACAAGGCTTACAGGGAAGTGACCAGTCTATGCACATCTACTCCGTTTCGGCCATGAGCAGACTCACCTTCATTTTTCACAATGCTTATAAAGGTTCCAATAAATCCTGCCTGTTTTCCAGACATGGAAAGAACCTGAATTCTGGATTTGACGCAATCCACTGGGTAAACAGCAAGCCAGAGGCAGACTCCACCAACTCCACCACTTAACATCAAAGGGACAGGGCCTAGAGGAGGAAATTAGCAAACAGCACTTTGTCTCAAGAACAGCATTTCCAGAGGTTAATGTAGTAGTGGCAACAGGGTACAAATAAAAATGCCGATGCTTGGGATGCCTCAGTGGCTGAGTCGGTTGAGTGTCTGCCTTCGGATCAGGTCAGGATCTCAGGTCATAATCCTGGGGTCCTGGAATGGAGCCCCACGTCAGCCCCCTGATTAGTGGGGAGTCTGCTTGTCCTTCTCCCTCTGCCCTAGCCCCTCTTCCATGCTTTTCTCTCAAATAAGAGCTTTTTAAAAAAATGCTAATGCTGCAAAGCACAATTCTCTGAGGAAGCAACCAAAGCTCTGAGAACACAAGGACCCATGCGGCACTGTGGTGGCACTGTCTGCCCCTCATCATGGTGGTCACTGTGGTGCTATGGGGCCCTCTTGGCCTGTCCTCCAGAGGGCTGGCTCACACAGAACCAGCAGGCCCCCAGCAACATGGCAACGCTCTACCATGGGGAATAACAACAATGGCCACTGAAACACAGGCCATGTTTTTTCCAAACTTCTCACTTGGCAGTATTTCAATATTTCAATGCCCCACAGCCCTGACTCTTCCTTTATCATGAAAACCAGAGTTGTCTTATTAATCACAATTGTTCAGCCTGGAAGCTTGCCTAATCCGAGAACAAGTCCAAAACACTGAAGGGAGGGGTTTGAGGGGAAAAAAAGTAATCATTCACACAAGCTAAACGTGAACATGGTTGTGTCAAGCAGCAAAACAGGATAAAAAAACAAAATTTTCCCCGTGCTCTGGAAACTCTCAAGATTTATTACCAAGTTTTAAGCTTATTGCAAAATGCTTCACAGGTGACTTACCCATTACTAGAGATTTCCCACAGGGAAAGTCATCTCTGTATTCTCCCTTAAAACGTTATTCCAGTAAAGATGTTTGGAATACACAGCTTCAGCCCTGCCCTAGACATTAGCATACCCAGAGGAAGGCGCCAAGGTCCTTCCCAGGCTCCAGGAACCCCAGCGAAGGGCAGGGCAGACCCCCACAGCCTCCACAATGAGCACGCCTCTGCAGGGCTGAGCCCAGCCCAGCCAGCTGCGTCACTGTGGCGCGCTTACCTAGTTCATCCTTGGATTTCCCTGATGCAAAAAACGACCTGCTCAGCTCGTAGCCTCCAAAGAAGAAGAAATAGCCGGGCACCTCTCGGAGAAGAGTGCTGGAGAGGCCATGGTAGAAGCCCAAGGGGCCGTCCTTCCTGAGGACAGTCTTCACCACAGACCAGACAGTGCTGCAAGGTGACAGGAAGCGAGCTTAGGGCAGGTGGGGGGAGGGGCGTCTCCTGCCAGTGGTGGGCCTGGCTCAGCCCTGGGCAGGGCTGATTCTAGAAACCCAGGGACCCGAATCCTGAGAATATAAGGCTTCTGCAGGGAGGAAACCTCAGAGGAGCACACGTACATTTATTTTAGGACAGCTGTTCTCACCTGAACTATCCGATGGCAATGACATTTCATTAAAGTGCACATTCATACAGAGCTGGGTGTGCCCACTGCACCTGTGGCCAAGATTTCAACAGACCGCGCCAGAACCCCATCTCAAATGGAACCACATTCACATTTCCCCAGTGTGCTGGGGATCAAGAGTACTCAGCAGAGGAGGACCTAAGAGCACACCTAGAAAAGGAGTTCCCTGGATTTTTAGAAAATCAGACCTCCTCAGGCCATAGACAAAACAATGAAGGACCTGGACTGGTGCCAACAGGACCAAGGGGACTCCCAGAGCTGCTTTTCACTAACTGCTAGGCTCACCACTGCATGCGATGCTTATTTTGTAGTACAAATGAAGCAAAAGGAAAAGTAGGAAGCACTAAGCAACACTCCTGCTGGATGACAGTTCTCCAGAAGGGGGTCTTCAGATACCTGCCCCCCAGCTTCTCCCTGTATAAGGATTCCATGAGCAGACCCTCAGAAAATATACAAATTGGACACCTGGGTGGCTCAGTGGTTGAGCGTCTGCCTTCGGCTCAGGTCATGATACCAGGTCCTGGGATAGAGTCCCAACCTGCTTCTACCTCTGCCTGTGTCTCCGCCCCTCTGTGTCCCTCATGAATATAAATATTTTAAAAATAAAGAAAATATACAAATAAATCCAACCCCCATTTGACATCAGAGAAACGTCAGTGAAAGCCAGACAAGCTCTTGATTTTGTTGGTTGCATTCTCTTGCCCTCAATAAACAAATTCCATTTGAATGTTTCAAATTTGTTTCAAAAAGTTCTTCATTTGAAAAAAAGTGCATTCCTACATTCTAGATGTCATTATCAAAGATGTCAAGGAGCCAATACCCACTTTTTTCCAACAATGAATAAGTGAAATGACAATAAGGAGCTGTCCAAATTCAGCAAGAATAAAATGGTATAATGTTTGCCCAGTTCCCAATTCCCCTCAATGACTACCCTCCTCAACCTTTCCTTCTACCTGGTGTTTACTGAAGGAATGTGTTCAGGTTCTTAGGGCTTGTTTGGTCTTGCGCTAGTGCACAGAATGAGCAAGGAGTAGATGCTATTGGAAGGTAAGACAAAGGAAATTCTTAGAAATTCTGTAGGGCAAGAAGCACTAAGAATTTAGTTCTGAGAGAGTAGATATGCAAGAATTTTTATTTCAAGCTGATCAGAGCCCTGTAGCAGTTGGAATGCATGACATTTTCTGCTTAGACCCCTCTCCTGATGGTGTGCACCATGGCAGGCTTTATCCGTCAGAAAAACAGCACCAGAAACCACATCCTTGGTGTTTAGAGAACACTTTGTCCTCACTTGGCTCTCAGCAGGTGACCTTACTTGGACCAGGGAATAATTGAGCCCCCAGTAATAAAAGTCACTTCAGAAGGCTTCGTCAGGCATCACTCATTATCCAGGTCCTTCCTGCAACTCGGCTCCCATTCGATAATGGAAATGTGACATAGTATCCAACTCAACATGATCAGCCTGCTTTCTGACCCAAGTCTTAACCCCAAGCTACCATATAACCATATACCTGTGTGGGCACTGCCACACCTAAAATATAGTCAACCAATATTTTTGTGAAAGGTGTCCATTTGCTTGTTTTTAGAGACAACAATTTCTTTAAAATACCTCATGTACAAACTGAGGATTGCTGGAGGGGAAGTGGATGGGGGATGGGGTAATTGGATGATGGACATGAAGGAAGGCACTCGCTGTAATGAGCACTGGGTGTTATATGCAACTGAAGAATCAGTAAATTCTACCCCTGGAACTAATAATACATTATATGTTAACTAAATTGAATTTAAATAAATTTTTAAAGATACTTTAAAATATTTCTAAGGGACAGGAGAGCAACTTTCTAGGTGCTGTTAATATTCTACCTCTTAGAGGCACCTGGGTGGCTCAGTGACTGACCATCTGCCTTGGGCTCTGGTTGTAATCCTGGAGTCGTGGAATCAAGTCCTGCATCAGGTTCCCTGCAGGGAGCGTGTTTCTCCCTCTGCCTGTGTGTCTGCTTCTCTATATCTCACTCATGAATATATTTTTAAAAATCTTTTTTTTTTCTATTTTAAAGATATATTTTCACAACTTTATTTGGAAAATTTTTTGAACCTACAAAAAAAGTTGCAAATATAGTGAAAGACAAACATGACAAACACCCTCATACCTCTACGTATTTAGTACCTGTTGAATTTTACATGTTTTTTTCTTTTAAAAAAATTTTTAATTCATGGGTTTTTTACTTTTTTTTTAATTCAAATTCAATTTGCCAACATATAGTAGAACACCCAGTGAAACACCGGGACGTCTGCACCCCGATGTTTATAGCAGCAATGTTCACAATAGCCAAAATAAATAAAAATCTAAAAAAAAATTCTACCTCTTAATCTGGACACTGGTTACAAACGTGTTTATGACTATCAGAACCCCACACTTATGATTTCTGTGGGTACCTTGTATTTTTTTTAAGATTTTATTTATTTATTCATGAGAGACAGAGAAAGAGAGAGAGGCAGAGACACAGGCAGAGGGAGAGGCAGGCTCCATTGCAGGGAGCCCGATGTGGGACTCAATCCCAGGACTCTGGGATCACATCCTGAGCCAAAGGCAGACGGTCAACCACTGAGCCACCCAGGTTCCCTGTCTACATTGTATTTCTATAAAAAGTTCTAGAGACTTATGCTTTTGGACCTCCTAACTATATACATTCAAACTGATTGTAGGGAATCTCAGGGGTACAGGAAACAGAGCTCTATTAGAAACCCCATCCTTACCGGAAGGATACTAATTCTGTAAATGGTCAGTTTATCTGGTTTTTCCCATCAGACTTATAGACTTTGAGTTAACCACAGTGACAAAGGCTTTAGTCAGCCAGATGTTAAGATAAATAAGTATTGAGATTAATAAAGACAATAAATTGTTTTACCATCCAAACAAATCATCTTATATACAACTGACTCATGTAACTAAAATCTGTTTCCAAGACTGAGGGGGACAGTGTTTTGACGGTTACAGGATAGCTCACAAGGGCTCTGAGGAGTGTCCTCATAACCCCAGGCCCTCTGCGGGTACATGTGAAGGATCAGGGTAGGAAGGTAAGGAAGTTATCCCAGGATCTGGGGTGATCGGCCCATGTGAAACTGGAAACAGGCATCAAATACTCATCTTGGAACCCAAATTGGTACTTATGAAGGCTCACCTCCCAGCCTCTCCACTTCCCAGGTAGTAAATATCTGCCTACAATGTTCTATTGTGGGAGCGGGGGTGGGTCCAACCCTCATAAGGTTCATTTAGAAAGCTATCCTCTGACTGGTAAGGGAAAGAGTTCTAAAAAGAGAGTATTTTGGAGTAGACCAATCTCTTTCTCTGCCACTTAGTTTTAGTACAACATAGAATTTACAAATATGTGTTGTATCAAGAAAACAGAGACCAGGGATCCCTGGGTGGCACAGTGGTTTGGCGCCTGCCTTTGGCCCAGGGCGTGATCCTGGAGACCCGGGATCGAATCCCACGTCAGGCTCCCGGTGCATGGAGCCTGCTTCTCCCTCTGCCTGTGTCTCTGCCTCTCTCTCTCTCTCTGTGACTATCATAAATAAATAAAAATTTAAAAAAAATTAAAAAAAAAAAAAGAAAACAGAGACCCAAAGTCTGTGCCCAAGCAGTGCTTACTTCTGGCTGTTGGCTATCTTTCCCGACGATGCCATCTCATGCATGGTCTGCAGCCGGCACTTCACAAGCTCAGTGGGGCAGAGTACCAGAGCTGCAAAGGCAGAGGCAAAGGAACCAGCAGCTGCATTCTGCAGATCACTGGAAGGAAACAAGCACAGGAGTCAGGTTACTCATTCATTCAGCTCTCACCATGCAAAGCACTCAGCTGGGTGAGGGAGAGCAAGGATCAAAGGAGATGAACATTTCCTGAGTTCCAAGAACTTGCACACCCAGTTTCATCTAAGGATCCCACAGACTGGGCAGCCCGGGTGGCTCAGCGGTTTAGCGCCACCCTCAGTCGAGGGCGTGATCCTGGAGACCCGGGATCAAGACCCACGTCGGGCTCCCTGCATGGAGCCTGCTTCTCCCTCTGCCTGTGTCTCTGCCTCTCTCTCTCTCTCTCTCTCTCTCTCTCTCTCTCTCTCTGTATTCTCATGAATAAATAAATAAAATCTTTAAAAAAAAAAAAAAAGGATCCCACAGACTTATGAGGCGGACACCGACACCCCAATTTTCATGTGGAAAACCAATGCATAGAATACATGATGCACAGAGCACCTGGGTGGCTCAGTGGGTTAAGTGCCTGCCTTCAGCTCAAGCATGATCCCAGGGTCCTAGTATCAAGCTCTGCATCAGGCTCTCAGCAGAGCACCTGCTTCTGCTGCTCCCTCTCAGTTCCCTCTGCTTCCTGCTCTCCCTGCTTGTACTCTGTCAAATAAATAAAATGTTAAAAAAAAAAAAAAAAAGGACACCTGAGTGGCTTAGTGAGGGGTTTAGCACCTGCCTTCGGCCCAGGGCATGATCCTAGAGATTTTTTTTAAATCTTAAGAGAGATAAAAGACTCCACCCCAAGATTGCTAGAACTCATACAGCAATTTGGCAGTGTGGCAGGATACAAAATCAATGCCCAGAAGTCACTGGCATTTCTATACACTAACAATGAGACTGAAGAAAGAGAAATTAAGGAGTCAATCCCATTTACAATTGCACCCAAAAGCATAAGATACTTAGGAATAAACCTAACCAAAGAGGTAAAGGATCTATACCCTAAAAACAACTGAACACTTCTGAAAGAAATTGAGGAAGACACAAAGAGATGGAAAAATATTCCATGCTCATGGATTGGCAGAATTAATATTGTGAAAATGTCAATGTTCCCAGGGCAATTTACACGTTTAATGCAATCCCTATCAAAATACCATGGACTTTCTTCAGAGAGTTAGAACAAATTATTTTAAGATTTGTGTGGAATCAGAAAAGACCCCCAATAGCCAGGGGAATTTTAAAAAAGAAAACCATATCTGGGGACATCACAATGCCAGATTTCAGGTTGTACTACAAAGCTGTGGTCATCAAGACAGTGTGGTACTGGCACAAACACAGACACATAGATCAATGGAACAGAATAGAGAACCCAGAAGTGGACCCTGAACTTTATGGTCAACTAATATTCGATAAAGGAGGAAAGACTATCCCCTGGAAGAAAGACAGTCTCTTCAATAAATGGTGCTGGGAAAATTGGACATCCACATGCAGAAGAATGAACCTAGACCACTCTCTTACACCAGACACAAAGATAAACTCAAAATGGATGAAAGATCTAAATGTGAGACAAGATTCCATCAAAATCCTAGAGGAGAACACAGGCAACACCCTTTTTGAACTCGGCCACAGTGACTTCTTGCAAGATACATCCACGAAGGCAAAAGGAACAAAAACAAAAATGAATTATTGGGACTTCATCCAGATAAGAAGCTTCTGCACAGCAAAAGAAACAGTCAAGAAAACTCAAAGACAACCTACAGAATGGGAGAAGATATTTGCAAATAACATATCAGATAAAGGGCTAGTTTCCAAAATCTATAAAGAACTTATTAAACTCAACACCAAAGAAACAATCCAATCATGAAATGGGCAAAAGACATGAAGAGAAATCTCACAGAGGAAGACATAGACATGGCCAACATGCACATGAGAAAATGCTCCGCATCACTTGCCATCAGGGAAATACAAATCAAAACCACAATGAGATACCACCTCACACCAGTGAGAATGGGGAAAATTAACAAGGCAGGAAACAACAAATGTTGGAGAGGATGCGGAGAAAAGGGAACCCTCTTACACTGTTGGTGGGAATGTGAACTGGTGCAGCCACTCTGGAAAACTGTGTGGAGGTTCCTCAAAGAGTTAAAAATAGATCTGCCCTACGACCCAGCAATTGCACTGTTGGGGATTTACCCCAAAGATACAGATGCAATGAAACACTGGGACACCTGCACCCCGATGTTTATAGCAGCCCTGTCCACAATAGCCAAACTATGGAAGGAGCCTCGGTGTCCATCAAAAGATGAATGGATAAAGAAGATGTGGTTTATGTATACAATGGAATATTACTCAGCCATTAGAAACGACAAATACCCACCATTTGCTTCGAGGTGGATGGAACTGGAGGGTTTTATGCTGAGTGAAATAAGTCAATCGGAGAAGGACAAACATTATATGGTCTCATTCATTTGGGGAATATAAATAATAGTGAAAAGGAATAAAGGGGAAAGAAGAAAAAATGTGTGGGAAATATCAGAAAGGGAGACAGAACATGAAAGACTCCTAACTCTGGGAAACAAACTAGGGGTGGTGGAAAGGGAGGTGGGCAGGGGGTGGGGGTGACTGGGTGGCAGGCACTGAGGTGGGCACTTGACGGGATGAGCACTGGGTGTTATTCTGAATGTTGACAAATTGAACACCAATAAAAAATAAATTATAAAAAAATAAATTTATTTTAAAAATCTTGAGATATATTTTTATATATATTTTATTTTTACATATATTTTATTTTTATATATTTTTTATTTATATTTATATTTTTATATTTTGTATTTTTATTTTTATTTATAGTCACACCACTACTAAGTGGCAATGCTACGATTCAAACCCAGGTCTGACTGCAAAATCTATGCTCCTCTTATTAGTCATAGGTGCTATGCACAGAATGTATCCCCCATCACTAAATCTCTATGCTGATGCCTTAACCCCCCAGTGTGCTGGCATTCGGAGGGGACCTCTGGGGGATAACTATGTTTAAATGAGGTCGTGAGGGTAGAACTGGCCATGATGGGATTAGCATCCCCCTATAAGAGACCACTGATCTCTCTCCACCCTTTGAGAACACAGCCAGAAGTTGTCCCTCTGTAAATCAGGAAATGGGCCCTCACCAGATACCAAACCAACCAGTACCATGGATCTTAGACTTTCTGGTCTCCAAAACTGTGAGAAACAAACGTTTAAGCCACCCAGTTGACAGTACTCTGTCATAGCAGCCAGAGCTAAGACACAGTGATATACAAAACCAAAAAAGATCTGGAGAAAAAGATCACCCATACTCCCCTCCCCCTCCAAGACACACATCAATACTTGAGCATATCTGCCACTAAGCTTTATAAAATAAGCTTTTGAGGCCATCCCTGCATGCCCAAAATCCAACCCGAAGCAACCAGATGTGTAATGTGACTGTTGTAGATGAAAGTCCAGGATAAATTTTTTTTTTTTCAGGATAAATTTTTAACCAAAAAGCCGCTCATTGCAAAAAGATTTCCCAGTTCCACTGATGACCTCCTGACCTCAGCAACAGAGGGCACTAAGAGGGTGCAACAGTGGTGGGGGGTGGGGCATGGGGGAGGCCAGTTCCCATCAGCAAGTTCAGTGCCTGCAGGTAAAATGGCTAAATCAGGAATCTAAATGGAGGAACTAATGCATATAAATACAACCAAAAGTATTCATTTCGCCTCAAGAGGGTTTGGTACTACCAGCCACCACCACCAGCAGGGCTGTGAAAATGAGGTCCAATCAGAGTTCAGTATGAGGAAAAGTCTGAAAAATCAAATGTGAACTCAGGGAATTCTTCCCCAAGTGTTCATGAGGGTCAGAAAACAAGATCCCTTCCAATTCAGGACCGTGTTCTGTCACAGGAACATGGCTGGCAGGGCTTGAGGTTGGACAGGAAGGAGCAAGCTGCTCAAAGCAGGACTACTGGCTCCCGACTCTAACTTGTTCACTGCCAGCAGCCCACTATCACCAACCACCAGGATGACACCCAGGATGATTGCCCTGGTAGAGAGGGCACCTCACAATTTTTCCCCAAACCATGACCAAAAGCCTAGTAGACCTAACATTCAACTGTCCTAGAGTTAAACAGTTATAGTAAACTGATATCAGACGTTAGTATAAAGTTGACGGTTGCCTCCAATCTTAGCCCCAGTCTTCTATTCCCTTCCCTGAGATGAAGGGTGAGTGCCTGGGACTAGCTGGCCTGCTACACACCCCAGTCCCAAAAGAGTTGGCTGGGAACAAGGCTCTCTCTTCCAGGAGAAGACCTCTGCTTATAGTATGGACTTGCTATTCATTTTAGAGAATTAGGTATCAGACCATTACTTGGCAGGAACCAGACACACGACTGTACTTGCCCTCAGCTTCTGCATACAGAAACTGTCCAGCAGTTCACACTGTTCCTTCCCTTCCTGCTTCACTCCTACTTAGCTGCTTGTCAAAACCAAAGATTAAAGTGGTTTCTGTGGTCTCTCAGCCAGCCTGCGGATCCACAATTTGTCTCCCTCAGGGACTCTCCAACTCGCTGACCGGCAACAGTGAATGAGGGTCATTAGCCAGAGGTGCCAAGTCTGTTGGAACAGAGGTGGCATCAGTAAATGTGGACATCTACTCAACCTCAGATGCTGTAACGAGTCAGCCACCTGAATGAATACCAACCAAGTTGTTCTAGTGCAGCAACAAGGCCAAATCAGATCTGCAGTGGACTTTGGCTCTCTAATAAATACGCTTGTCTACCAGGGCACTAAATGAGGGGCATGGGGCCCCAGGCTGCACCTGCAGTAGAGGCGTTCAGACCCAGAACTGAAACTGCAGCAGGTGTAGAAGCACATTTGGTAAGGAACAACTAACTGTCACCCATTCAACAAACATGTACTCAAACACTCCTGAGGTCAAAGGAACACACTACCGGGGGTGGCATTCAACCAAGGACAGATAAATATTTACGGGGTTATTGCTGAAATTCACAGCAGGATCATCCAAGCAGTGCTTTCCTTTTACTGACTCTACTTACTACTCTTTCTTCTACATCTGACCCCTCCCACATAGTCCAGAGCCCCAACTCTGATCTTACAGAAAGAGTACTGGACAGAGACTCAGAAGACTGGCTTTGGGTCTTGCTCTTGGTTGTGAACTCAGACAACAGTATCCTAAGCATGCCAGTTTTCTGCACTTCAGAGTCTCCAACTATAAGACAGGTGACACCACAGGCTCGGCTGCTCACACAGGACCATGATGAGGGCTAACCAACACAGGAAGGCCATGGGTGTCACAGCTCTGTAAGCTCTAAGATAGCACTGCCCCACCAGGTAATAAGCAAACACTGCCCTGCAGGATGAAGACGCCGCCATCCCCCATGCCACAAGGATCAAAGAAGAGGATACCAGGTTAGGCCAAGTCAAACAGGATGGCTTCCTGGCTGCAGGACTTCCTCCAGGACCTCACATGGCTGCTTGCTGTGCCCATCTTCTCTGCAAGGCATCCTCCTCTAGGAATTCTGCGAGGGACCTAAACCTCTCATCTCCTCCCAGAGAAGGTCTCCCCCTTGACTGGGAACAGTGGCAATCGCTACGGTCTTCTTTCCATCCATCTCTATCATTAGATCCCACACTCTCCTGGTTGGCCTCCTGCTCCTTTCTTTACTTCCTCCTCTTCTTTGTGACCCTTCTGTGCTGGAAGGTCCTAGAATCTGTATGCAGTCCCTCTATGAGTGCTATCTTCCTAGGTGATTTCATCCAGTCCCAAGCTTTTAGAAAACAAATTCCATCCATGAAGATACAGTTCTGCCCATAAAAGGGCACATCTTTAAGACGAGGCACCTCCAGAGAATATTTCTGTACAAAAGGGGCCTGTGCAACCTGAGTTGCAATAGGGTTTCCAATTCCTACCAGAACTAGGTCTACCAGATGGCGGTCTACCCTTTGCAACCGTGAAGCTGATAGGATTTTAAAGGACTTAAAATAAATCAACATTCAAAAAGGGATGGCTACACATCCCAGTGGTTCCTAAATTCTTTTTAGTCTCTGTACAAATAAATATCCAAGGGATGACTGCATACAAGCCAAAGTCGGAGGTTTGGGCTGACTTGGCCAAACAGTAGGTTTATCTGCATCTGCACAGATGCTTCCAACTCTTCCTAAAATTCCAAGTTTTTCTTAAGCCTATCTGGCTCAGGCAAATTCTTCCAATCCTCTGCATTTTGCTGATTAAGTGGAAGCCAAACCTCAGCTCATAACTTGCATCTATGGCTCCAGTCCAGCACTCATGCCCACAAGACAAGTAGTACCACCAGCAGCATCCGAAAAGCAGCTCTCTGAAGCATACTGACACGTAAGGGGGAGCTCATTCTCCATGGTACATTACAACCCTTCTGCATAATACCAGTTTTCCAAGTTTAATATGATGAGAACATAAGACTTCATGACAAGAAAGGGGCTATTTAAAAAAAGGAAACATTCTTCCGATAAGATAACATAAAACTCTTGACTATGTAAGTGTTGTCTTTTTAAACAAACCGAAAACTCACCTCAGCTTGGCCTGCTTTTCCAATCCAACCACTTTCCGCACCACCTGTTGGCAGAAGCCGTAGCACATGAAGAGGACAGAGTTCTCGGCGATATTGGCAATCAACGCTGGGCTGGTCCCCTTGTAGAAGCCCCGGAAGCCCACCTGTGAGTATGTCTTCAGGCAGCAGTCGGTGAGGCCCCTGTACAGGTCGGGGAATGTCTGCATCTTCACTTTCAGTGTGTCAAAGGGCTGCCCAGTCAGTACACATGCTGTGCCCCCTAAAACCAGGACAGAATTCTTCTCCAGCACAAGTCGATGTGTGTTAGAATGTAGATTCAAATACCCGAGGAAAAGAAAGATAATCAGCCTCCCCAGGGCTTGCTTCTGTTTCAGTTCATTTCTACCTCTTTCCCCCCAAAGCTTCTAGCCCAGTCCAGTGAACAAAGCGTCCCTAGTATGCCTGGAGCACCGAGCTCCAGTCCTGAAGGGGCCTGCACTCAGCAAGAGAGACAGACGTGGTTTGACAGTAAAAGCCACAGGATGCAAAAGTATGGTGTGTGTTCTGGGGTGTTAGCATTTTCACCATTGAGTATGATGTGGGTTTTTCATATATGGCCTTTGCGATATTGAGGTATGTTCCTCTAAACTTTCCTGAGAATTTTTTTTTCATTAACAGATGTTGTATTTTGTCAAATGCTTCTCTGCATTTACTGAGATGATCATATATATGGTTTTATCCTTGTTAATATGGTGTATCCCATTGATTGATTTCAAAATATTGAAACATCCTTGCATCCCTGAAATCCTGCTTGATCTTGCTCTAAAGGATTTTTTTTTTTTTACTGTATCATTGAATGCCATTTACTAATATTTTTTGTTGAAGGGGATTTTTTGCATCTATGTTTGTCAGAGATATTGGCTTGCAGTTTTTTTTATAGTGTCTTCATTAGAAGATGAAGGAGTAATATTCATCTTGGCAACAACTGGACATTAGTAAGCAATGGAGTAACATCTTCAACATTCTAAGGGAAAATGATTTTGAACCTAAATTTCTATACCAAGTTAAATTAGCATGTAAGCATTAAGCATGGTGAAGGATCTCTTCCGATATGCCCCATCAAATTTACCAGCCAAAAATCATTTAAGAATTACTAAAAGATACATTCCCATAAAACAAAAAAAGAAAAGGAGGAAGATACAGAATTCAAGAAAAAAATGGATAAAACTAATAGATTCAATGCATGTAACTGGGGAGGAGACTGGTGATGGCTTGAGCTTTCTATTTGTTGAAGAGGTAAATACTGTTGAGCCAGAGAAGACAAAGAACTTGGAGACTCCGGAAGAAGAGTCTTCAGAGTGGAAGGAAAAACAAACCCTCAGGGAAGAAGCCTCAGAGACAGAAGAGGAGGGTGGAAAGGCCTGAGGAGGAGGGCAAGAGAGGCCTGAGGAAGAGGGGGGAGAGGCCTGAAGGCTAGAGGAAAGAGAAGACACTTTAGTATTATGTAACGAACAGGATCTAACCTACCAAAGTCATACTGTGGTAAATACAAAGCATGGAGTTGAGGAAATAACCAAAAATGCCTTGGAGATTATTTTAATTAAAGAGGGAGAAGATTCTGAGCCACAGGAGGAAGATAGTTCAGAGTGGGAAATGGAAATAATTTCATTGTGCGGGGAGGAGAGGACTCTGAAGCAGAACATGTAAAGACCGCCTCCCAGACTGAGAAAAGAGAGGCCTCAAAAGTAGACTTAAAGGAAAGAAATTGTCTCTAGTTATGTGGTTTGGGAGTCTGAGGAAAAAAAATTGCCAAAATGTTGGATAGAAAAAAAAAAAAAACAATAAAGAGGAAACAGCTATGCTCATAAATCAAGGAGTTGGGATAGTATGTTCGGCGTCTCTCCCTCAAAGTCACTAGAGCTACGTTCTGATAAACAGAAAAGGCATCTATGTACAAATTTGAGTATTCCATGAGAAATCACTACACTTTTAAGGAAAACTAAGAGAGATACAAAACTCTGCAAAAGAGGAGCCAACATCTAAAGAAACAGACTTAAAATAAGAAAACTTTACCAGAAGTAATTAATAACTTCAGAAAGATACAAGAGATTAGAAATAAAAATCATACAGAAGTCTTAGAAATAAAAAACTCAATAGATGCTCAGAATAGACATACTTGAAGAGACAAGAGACAATCTAGAAGATTGACTTGAGGAAATCTCTAAGGATACAATGTAAATGGCCAAACAGTTAATAAAGATCAAGAGACAGGATAGATCCAGAAGTTCCAACATCCATTTGACAGGAATTCCAGCAAAAAATAAAGGGAATGGAGCAGAGAAAATAAAATTAAGGAAATGATTGAAAAAATTTTCCAGAACTAAACAAAGATTCAAGTCTTGAGATTGTCAGTACTTACCCAGTACCTAGTAAGATTGATGAAAAGAGACTCACTCCTAGAAATCTAGGAATCCCAAAGATAAAAATATAACGGCTTCCAGAAAAAGAGAGAGCCTACAGAGGAGCAAGAATCAGGTTGGCAGATTTATCATTAGATACTCTGGATGCTAGAAGTAAATGGGGACAGGATCATAAAAGTTCTACAGGGAGGTTTTAACCTTAGAATCCTACATCCAACCAAAGTGGCATCTGATTTTGAAGGTAAAACAAAGACATTTTTTGATACTAAAGAATTCGGTTTATTTCTTGCATACCCTTTGAAAGAATTACTGCAAGATATATTTTAGCTATCTAGGGTGACCCTAAACACATACACATTATATATATTATCTTCCTTCCACACCAAAAATCAACAAGGAAAACAGGAAAATAAAATGCCACGTATCTACCTAGATAGATAAACAGCTAACAGTGTTAGGGGACTAGGGGAAAGGAAGGTTACAGATACTGCCTAAATGTTGGTAAAGTAAAAGAGGGTGTTAAAATTAATCAGGGAGCTTGGGTGACTGAATTGGTTAAGCGTTTGCCTTCAGCTCAGGTCATGATCCCAGCGTCCTGGAATCCAAGCCCTGTGTCAGGCTCCCTAGTTTGTGGGGAGCCTGCTTCTCCCTCTGCCTACCAGTAGCTCTCCCTGCTTGTGCTGTCAAGTAAATATAATATTTTTTTAAAAATTAATGTTAACCATCATAGCTTGTGTTGGAGTCTACTTTCTAAACTATGAGGGGGAAAGAGGGTATCAGTCAATATAACCATAGACAAGAAGAGGTGGGGTGAAAGTAATAGAAAAGCACAGGTTAAAAGATGGCAGGAAAGAAAAATGCAAAACTGGAACTCTTATCAAGAAAAGGGTAATTTTATCATCTCTACTGATGTGAATCTTGCCACTTTATAGTAAACCTCTTCCTTTAAAAAAAAAAATATATATATATATACTTCAAAGCTGTAGTAATCAAAATAGTATGGTACTGGCACCAAAACAGACACATAGATCAACAGAACAGAATAGAGAGCCCAGAAATAAACCCAAACTTACAGGGTCAATTATTCCACAACAAAGAAGGCAGGCATATATATGCAATGGGGAAAAGACAGTCTCTTCTATAAACCGTGCTGGGAAAACTGCACAGCTACATGCAAAAAAAAGAAACTGGGCTACTTCCTTCACCATACACAAAAATGAACTCAAAATGGATTGAAAACCTAAATGTGAGACCTGAAACCATACAACTCCTAGAAGAAAATACAGGCAGTAAGCCCTCTTGACATTGGCCTAGCAACATTTTTCTAGATATGTCTCCTAAAGTAACAAAAGCAAATATAAACTATTGGGACTACACTAAAATAAAAAAAGCTTTTCCACAGTAAAGGAAACCAATAAAACAAAAAGACCACCTACTGAATGGGAGAGGATATTTGCAAATAATGTTTCTGATAAAGGGTTAATATTCAAAATTATATATAAAGAACTTCAACTCAACACCAAAAAAAAAAAAAAAATTAAAAAAAAAAAAACACATTCTGATGAAAAATACAGGCAGAGGACCTAAAGAGATGTTCTTCTAAAGAAGATATCCAGATGGCCAACAGAAACATAAATTTTGGTATGAGGGGATAAATGTGAATGGTCTCAAATGTCACATTCAGAAATTAACACTAGTTAAGGCACATAGCAACAGAGCAGTCAAAGCAGGCAGTGTGTTATTTTATAATTGTCAACTACTGTATCTTAAAGGGAGACCAAGTTTCCTCATTAAGGCAATTTAACTTTAGAGCTCCACACTACTCATTTCAATATTTTCCAATTACCTATCTTCTTTAAATCCTCTCCCATCCTAGCTGCTTAGAATTTCTGGAATTTCTTTCCTGGAATTTCTCCTCTACTAGCTGCAGACAGGCATGACAGCTTCCCAGTACTTTATAGTAGATGAACTGGACCAAAAACCTGCCATATGGGAGAAGTTTGTTTCAAAGAAAAGGAAGGATACAGAAAAGAACATATGTATCTAACCTATATCACCACAGGCCACGATGGTCCAATGTCCCAACCTAGACAGCTGAGCCTCAGGGGCTTCAGACTAATCTCCACCCCCAAGAGTGCTGTTGGCCCATTACATAGTATTAAAGACAACAACAGGACTGGTCAAGGAACCAAGCAACCAATGTCCTAGCCCTGTCCTGACATCAACTAGCTGTGCAATCACTGACAAATCCACTGTCCATCTCCAGGTCTCCTTTCTACATATACAGTGCGCATTAGAGCCAACAGTCTCTAAAGGCCCTTCTAGCTTCATCATTGAGAGACTGAGACCCCTCCAAAGCGGGGCTCTGGCTTCCTGTTAGCATTCCATGCATCTCCCAGTAGAAATTCTCAGGTCACTAACAGGAGCCTCCTCTGCCAGCACCATGGAAGAGACTCTAACTTAGTTTAAAGCATGGACACCCCCCCCTAAATAAATAAATAAATAATAATAATAATAATAATAATAATAAAGCATGGACCCCTGCAAAGGAGCCTTCTCTCCTCCAAAGTTAGAGGATGCAGGACAATGCTATAGCAGTGAGGGGTGACCCTCTGTTACCACTGCAGGAAGAAATCCCATCTAGTCATCAGGAGAATTAAATGCCATATGTTTTCTGGCCCAAAACATATCAGTACTATTGGGGGAAAAAAAAAAGGAACATGTATACCAGCAAATACCCTACACAGTGGACTCCCAACAATAAATAGTCTTGCAATTTGTATACTTAAAATTCACCGTAGGGGCACCTGGGTGGCTTAGCGTCTGCCTTTGGCTCAGGTTATGATCCCGGGGTCCTAGGAACAAGGCCCACATTGGGCTCCCCGCTCAGTGGGAAGCCTGCTCCTGCTTCTCCCTTTCCCCCTACCTTGTGTTCTGGGTCTCTCTCAAATACATAAAATCTATAAAAAATAATAAAATTCACTGTAAAGTATATATGTGGCACCCAAATACCTGTCACACAGAAATGCCTTTCTAGGGAAAAGAAAATTCTGTCACAACAGATTCTACATCTTTGGCAGACTCACTGAGGGACATTTAATTTCAAAAGTCGAGAATCTCTCATGTGGTTAAATACCCTCTTGTGGGAAAAACTGAGCCTAGAGCATTCTCTGGACTGGTAAGAGGGTGCCAGAGGTCGACAAATGGGTCCGCCATTCCCATGGTCAGTGCCTTCGCAATGTGGCACACGGTTGGGGGTGGTGATGGTACATGTGGCCTAAGGGCTGCAGCTGGGTAAGAGACTGACCTAAGGCATTCGGCAGACAAGAAGCCAGCAGGGCAAAACCTAGGCAGCCCTTAGTTTTTCCTACAACTGGGCCAAGACACTCCTGTGGTCTCTAACCTGGGAGCTAGTGCCTGCACTTCTTACTAGTGTAATGCACTGTCTGTAGCCTTTCTCACTAGCCTACCTTGGTTGACCTTTGGTTCACCAGAAAATACTTTGTTCTCTGAACTGGGACTTCTTTTTATCCAATTAAGGGAATGACAGGATGACAGGTGGTGGCCCTCTGACTGCACTCGATCCACTGACCCAGGAGGTCCTACTGGATAAGAGGACAATGGCCACCGCCCCTCTGGCCTCTCCACGCCTAGGAGCTGTGACCCTGATAAGAATCAGTATAAGGGGCAAGGGTAAACCAGGGTTTTCATCTGAGAAATGTAAGCATTACAGCATTCTTCTGGCTCTAAAATAATGCAGGAACCTAGAAAACCAAGTTACTATCCATACACTTCCAGTTACTGACCTCAGGCTAAGTAAAGGTAATCTTTCTAAAAAGAGGCCTATGTGTTTCAAGCACTTCCCAGGAGTGCTTACCTGTGCCCTATGAGGCTGCAGTCTGTCCTGGGGCTCAACCCCTTCCCAGCCCACCATTCCCTGGCAAATTCTAGGGCCTCTCCTTTCCTTTCAGGGCTTTAGATATCACCAAATACCAGTCTCATTTACCAAAGACATTTCTAAAGGGTGTCCTCCTTTCTTTCCTTGGCAGTAATAAGGACAGTAACTAGAACTTCCCTGGAGAGATGGCACAGTGTGATTCTTGACAACAAGGGCTCTCTAGACTGCCAGGCTTGGAATAAAACCCGTCACCTGCATACTCCAGCGTGTGACAATAGACAAATGAGTTCAGCTCTGAGCTGTGAGGTGTTCCAGCTGTAAACTGACAATATTCCCACATTGACTCAAGAGTTTTCTATAAAGGAACTACTCTACCTTCTACTGTTCTTGGAACATAATATTATATTTCCATTAAATGGATTCACTCCAAGGTGAAAGCATGTTGCTTCTGGAGTGGCAAAGGTAGTATTTTCACCACCCTTTCGCTGGATCTCATTTGTAGCAGTACTTGAAAAAGAGAAGATGGGGTTTCCCCTGGAATTACCTGCAGCCCCTGCTGTGAGGTCAATGGCAGCTTGGATAGCAGGATTGGGCTTCATGTTCGCCCACTCCTCTGCTGGGCTCCGTGGAAGGCAACTCTCTGGAACTTATGACAGGTGTCTCATATCCCTGAAAGGAGAGAAGAGGAGAGCTCACCATCAGTGGGGCCTCTGCAGCCTCCCTTTCTCTAGAACAGCCGCCCAGTTACTGGGACCTCAACTTCTGGGAGCTCTACATTTCTCCAAAGAAAGGCGGTCAAGATGTCAGTGGAGCCTATCAACTGGCATCCCCTTCTCCCTGCCCATTATCTCCCCATAAAAATCTCTCAAGTCATAAACCTTCCCTGAGTATCAAAGCTACAGCCACTGGTAGGGGGCATGTCAACTGTCTTTCTGAAAAACTTAACAAATGAATGCCAAATGCCAGATACCCAAGGCATATCAAACTAGTTTTTCAGAGGCCTAATTGGAACTCTGAGTCAATTAGGTCAGTTCTAAATTCACACAGAAGCCTGTGTCCCCAATAGGAGGTCACAAAACAGAAGTCTGGAAAGGAACGGAGAAGAGGCTCTGCAAAGTGACACATGGTGGGGGGGGGGGGTCTGAATGCCTACTCTGCCACCAGCAGGGTGGGCCCCTAAAGCTGGGAGTCTCCACATATAAAAGGTGAAGAAGTATTATAATACAAAGGCAATCACAAATAGCCACGTGAGACAGATGTTCTTATAACTACAGAACACAGCACCAAATGTTACTAATTGTCAGAGTCCTCTCTAGAACTTCTCAACCATAAACGTGTACACTAATCACATGGAGACCTTGTTAAAATAGAGATTCTGATGTGATGAGCCTCAGGTGGGACCAGAAACCCTGTCAGTCATGACAAGCTCCCAGATGAGGCTGATAATGACTGGCCACCAACCACATTTTGAGAAGCAACACTTGGTCCACTGTGTCCTAAATTTGATAAGAACTACTGGGATGCCTATGAAATATTCAAATAAGCCACTCTCCTAGTGATCTTGATTCAGCATGTTTGAGCTCGAGCCTAAAAAGTTTGGGAGGGGATCCCTGGGTGGCTCAGCGGTTTAGCGCCTGACTTTGGCCCAGGGCGTGATCCTGGTGTCCCAGGATCGAATCCCACGTCAGGCTCCTGGCATGGAACCTGCTTCTCCCTCCTCCTGTGTCTCTGCCTCTCTATGTCTATCATAAATAATAAATAAATCTTAAAAAAAAAAAAAAGTTTGGGAAAACTAGAGTCTACTCCTCTACCTTTAGACAAAACTCAACTATTGCAGAGGAATGGACTTTATAAATATGGATTTTTTTAAAAAATGAAAGACGGTTCATTAGCAGAATATTAAGATAATTCAACAACCAATTCTGGTTGGTTTTTCAGAGTATGTGAGTGACTTATGCATGAGTAAGGAAGTGCAATCTTTAGTCTTCACACTAAAGACCTTTGTGCTCCCACTGGAGCCACCTCTCAGAAGGGGGGTGGGCTGGTTGGATCAATGTCAACCTAAACATCAGCAGAAAGAAAAAATCATGCACTGAGAAGTTTGGCCACTTGACACGTTGCCAACGACCAGACACCAAGAATCTTGCTTTCCTTACAAAACACTGTAAAACCAGCAACCACAAAGGCAGTCCTGGACTTGCAAAAGCAACTAAGTGAACCAGACAAGACATGGATTTTATGTTATCGACAGGACTGGAGAGGCAAAATCAATAACTCGGCGTTGAGAAGGTCATGGCCATCCTGCACCTAGAGAAGGATAGGAGGGTCCTAATCCAAACTCCCTTTTCCACGTGGAAAACTGAGGCCAGAAGGCATGAGCTCTTCCAAGGTCATACAAGTAGTGGATTCAACTCGTCTTGCCTTTTGGGTCTCTGCCTACCAACCAATACCTAACTCCTGACCACAACCAAAAACACCCAACCGTGCATTTTAAAGGAAAAGCGGAGGCAAGTGGGGAGAGTCACCCAGGATGTAAGCAAAGTGGCTTCTCCACGCGTTCAATTCTTTGGACGTGTAACATTTCCTGATCAGAAAGGCCTGGGTCGCACCGTGTCGTCAGAGTGAATCCAACCCCTTCAGACAAGCCGAACTTAAACACCGCGAACCCCACAGGGACGACTTTCGGAATTGTTGGGGCAACAGCGGCGGGGACTAAAACTCGGAAGGTGAGGGCAACTGACCAAAATTCTTGAGTGGCTTAAGGAGGCTTCCGGAGGGCTTGAAAAATACAGACGGCTCGGGGCAGTAGGCCGGCCCGGGGGGGGGGGGGGGGGGTAAAGCTCACCCCCCCCCCAGCCAGGTGGGGAGAAAAGCGGAGTCCCCTCGGCGTCCCTGCCCCTCCCGCGGGGGCGCGCGCGGGCCCGGCGACCCGGGAGACCCGCAGCGCCGCCAACCGCGCGGCGAGGGCCTGGGGAACGCCGCGAAGCAGCCTCCCCGCCGGGGACTTCCACGCCGGGGGCACCCGCCGCCGAGAGGCCAGCCTCGGGCCGCGGGGCCCAGCCCGCCGGCCGCCGAGACGCTCCTGCTGCGGGGCTCCGGGCCGGCGGGCGCAGGGGCCGCTCTGAGGCCGCCTCCGACTTCCTCTCCGCGGCCTCACCGTGCGCGAGGCAGCCCCGCAACCCGCGAGCGTCCCCGGTCCCGGGCGCCCCGCCCCGGAGGCCGAGACACTCGGGGCCCTCGGAGGACGACCCTCCGCAGCACGTGCGCGCCGCCGGCCGGGGCTCGCCGGAGACTGGCGACAAGAAGACGGGCGGAGCCAGCCCCCGGCCCCCCGGCCCCCGCCCCCCGGGAAGCTCCCGCCGCCCCTCCTCCCCGCGGGCCCCCCGCAGCCCGGAGCACCGGCCGGGGCTGCGCTCACCACCACGCCAGCCGGCCGCGTCCCGCTCGGGGTCAAGCGCGGGCTCTCGGCGCTGCCTCCGCGGCCCGGGCGGCCGCTTAACACCCACGTCGGCCGCAGGCCGGCCCCCCGCCCGGCCCCCCGCCCCGCCCTCTCCCGCGGGGGCGCTGGGCGGGCGGCGGCCCCACGAGCCCAGGGGCGCCCCGCGGCGGCGGGGGCGGGGGCGCTGGGCGGGCGGCGGGAGCACTCGAGCGGCGGCCCCACGAGCCCGGGGGCGCTGGGGCGGGCGCTGGGCGCTGGGGCGGGCGGCGGGGGCGGGAGCGCGGGAAGCGGAAGTCGCGGGTGAGGCGGCGCGCCCGGCCCGCGCAGGCCGCAGGACTCCGGCCCGGCCCGGCCCCGGCCCCGGAGCGGCTGCGGGGACTCCCGCAGGGCGGGGAGCCCCGTCCCTCCTCCAGGCTCCCGGGGGACTCCCGAGACGCTCCACCCCCACTTAGCGCTCAGGACGCGGGCTGGGGGGTCAGGAGGACCCACCGAGCGAGGTCTTCGGGCTGATTGACCTTGCCGGACCTCAAGGCCTCGATTTTAGATCATATTTGAATACAAAAGTGCCGGAGACGTAGTGATGAAAAGTACATTCGCTTATTGCCAGAGAAAAACCCCACAGAACACCCGCTTCCCGTTCTGCATATCGCAAGGAAATCCATCCTCACTTGACACGTTCGAGAAAGTCTGCCCACCGGTGAAAACGAGCGCCAAGTCAGCTCCTCTGACCTTTTAGTTCCTGATGAATTATAGGCTCTCTGGCGTTTTATTCAAAAGCACAATTCAAGGAATCTTGCATACCGGGAGTAAAGGAATTTTCTCTAGTTCCCCACCAGGGACAAAGAGCTATTATTACCAACAGCTGCTCAATATAACGCAGTCGTAGCCTTTGGGTTTCTTTGGTTCAGTGTTCATCCATTTTTCATTTTCTAGGCTGTATTTTCCTCCTTAAACCATGCTCTCTTTTCCTTTTACAGTTGGTTTTTGCCCCATTTGATTGTGGTGGTGGATTGGTGACAATGTCAGTTAAGTGATGGGGGCTGGGACTTAAATATTCCATGTGACTTGTGTTTGTGCTTCATGAGAATACCCAACTGCATAGACCTTCATGAAGTGGAGGTGCTATGAAGGCACCAGAACTCCTAATAAATGAGGCATTCATCAAAACAGCACAAAACTGTCTTTTCACAAAATCAGCGCTTTAGAAGTCAAGTTTCTGAAACGATTCAATTACGGAAACAAGCGAAGGAGTTTGAAATACTTGCCCAAAGTGACTTGTGACCTAACTGGGGGGAAGCTGACTCAGGAGCAGAACCTACCCTTAAAACACCCCAGAGGACAAAAGGACTTTCAGTATCCCCTGTCCAGTGGCTTTAGCAAGCAAGAAAAATTAGGCCCAAAGGAAACCTCATTAAAGACAGATCCAGATCTTCCGTTGCAGATTGGAAAGAGCACTGGAACTGGAACCAGGATGCTTCTGTAAAAATCTGGGTGACTTTTAATGAGTTATTTAACTTTTTCAGAGCCCAGCCTTCATGCAACTGCATCATGGCCTCTGATCTTCTGGATCCTGCTGGGGCCATCCACCACTTGGGCCACTGCTGCTCTGGGAGCCTGCTGGGGCCATCCACTGTGAGGACAGGTGCTACTCCAGTCCACTGTGTGCACCTCGTTCTTTGTGTCGTCTCCCTGAACCCCTTCTCCCTTCTCCTACTCTCACAAGGGCTACTCCAGACTCTCACCACACCATTTCTTCTCTCCCTCACCTCTCTTCAACAACCTTAGCCTCAGTTTATTCGTACACTCAAAAACAACCAGGAAACATTTCTGCAAGTTTTTAACCCCTAATTTACAAAGTTCTCTTTTTTGCAAAAAAAAACAAAAAAAAAAAAAAACAAAAACCATCCATTTGCCTCTATCCTGTTGTCTTGCTTGCTGTATCTTGCTGGCACCTCAAACCATGGCTGGCACCAATGATGCTGGTGAAGGCACAGAGGCTCCCAGGGGTCAAATCGTGTGCCCAAAGTTATATAAGTACTAATAAAAGAGCTGGAACTCCACAAAATTGTGTTCAATTCTGGAGTTCATGTCCATAACCTCCTAGACAGCCTCCTTTTAAAAGCAAGAGGGTTGCAGGAACCAGTTCTTTCTCCTGAAATAGATCTCCCTTCATATCTTATAAATTCACCTCAGCAACTTAAAATCCCTCACAGGAGTGGCTCTTTCTGTTATCTTTGCTTTAGGAATAGAAACACAAATATAAAATGTTGAAAAGCTTAACATCTCACAGCTCAGAGAACTGATTGGAAAACCACCTGCTTGGTATCCACACAAACTTTGTTTTATGGCTAATTCCCCAGATATCTGATGGCCTGGAGAACAGGACTTAAAAGAGTCCTGCATTATGCTTTCAGTATAGGTAGGTTAACCCAATGGCATTTCTGAGCTGGGTTCCCAACACCAAGCAAATACAATGCACTGACCCCTTTGCTCCAGTTGGTTGATTATTACACTTGGACTGCGCAATCCAGGGACATTAGTGCAGCTGACTGTGATGGAGGGCAGGTGTGACGCAGGTCAGAAGAAAGGGGGCAGAGTAGCTAACACAGAAAAGGGAGACTTTGCTATTTCAATAGTATTTCACAATGCAATAGTTAATGACACCAAAAGGAGAAATAATTTCATCACTTGAAGTATTTTGGCCCTAATACCATATGGATGTGTCTTAACAAAGTGTTAATTGGAGTTGTAAATAGTTTAAAAATGTAAATCATTTCCAATTCAAGGGTACTTTTAATTAGTGAGAAAGGGAAAAAAATGCTTTGATTACACAACTCCCATTGAATATTATTGGCTGCTGATGTAAACTTTATTGAAATTCTCTCAAATCTTTTATGGAATTAGGTAGACTTTGTATTTGAAATAAACGTGGATTTTTATTTTTTGTCATCTATATGGAATAAGGAAGTATTTTGTATCCCATGAAAAAGTTAAGACAATGTTTTAAATGAGGGCAATTTCTTTTGTCTTTTCCTTGACAGCTTTTTAATAGTACAGGGGTACCAGCAAATGGTACAAGCAAAAAAAAAAAAAAAAAAAAGTAAGAAAATCAGCTGAGACGTATATTTCATGAGCCTTAGGGTTGAATTTGTCATATATATATATATATATATATATGTATTTTAAAGACATAATTTATAATAGCAAGTACTTAGGAGAAATGCCCATGAGAGATAAAACTTAATGGATCATCATCAGTAAGAGGAAATACTATGACATAATCTTAAAAATAATTTTCTTAAATGACATGCTTTAGGAAATACTTGGCTTTCAGTAGCAGAATGCACAACTATTAATATATTTATTTTGAATATAAAAAGAAGTCTAGAAATAGGAAGTTCCAGAGTTGCTTAATTTAATAGCTCAAAAGTATCTGGGATCAGCTTCTCTGTCATTCTCTTGACTTTTCCCACATGATCACAAAGTGGCTGCCATAGCTCTGTCACATCCTCACATGTAAAATCCAAGTGCAGGAAGGAGCATTCTTTACAAATTTTTTTATCACATGCAAAAAAACTTTCCCAGAAGCCCCCTGTCCCTTGTATTCCATTAGCCCAGAACTGAGTCTCGTGCTTGCTCAAACATAAACACTGGAAAGAGATTGGAGTTACCATATTTGGTTTAGAACCAGGGTCATCAAACTTCTGAAAAGGATCAATCAGCTAGTAAATATTTTAGTAAATATTTTTCAGGGCATGCAATCTCTGTCACATCTACTCAACTCTGCTGTTGTAAACAGAAGCAGCCATAGATACAGTAAAGAGAAAAATGTGGTTGTGTTCCAAAATAAAACTTTTATCCATGAGTGTTGAAATTTGAATTTCATATAATTTTTACCTGTCACAAAATATTATTTTGACTTTTTTTTTCAACTTTTTAAAACTGTTTTTTAAAAAATTGTATGGCTCGTGGCCATTCAAAAAGAAATGGCATGCCTGATCTTGGGGGCAAGTTGTGTTTTGTCAACCTCTGGTTTTGACCAATGATGACTTCTCCCCTTGGGACTGTGGAAGAGGCCCACCTTTTCTGCGGCATTACCACTGCAGACCTGGAGGGAAGCTTGGGGGAAGCAGGGTTTTAGTAGGTCCCCTACAGCATATTAAGCATATGGGAAAATGCTTAGGGATATAATCATTTTTAAAAGCAGATTGTAGTCAATATGGACTGCAATTGGACAGTCTCAACCATTTCTGCCTATTGAAATCCCTATTTACCAAGACCTGTATTTGACACAGGCATCTCAAACGCCTTTTCCTAGTTTTCCTAAACATGTCTGTTCACTGCTTCCTATCAATAACAAATTTTCATTTAGCACTGATCAGCTCTGTATCAACCCGCACTAAGAAATACAGAAATGGAAGACAATGGGTAGCCTCAAAGAAACCTCAGCCCAAGTAAAGGAGGAAGAAACAAATAATTAAAATTTGGGGAGGACTTGCAGCAAGAGGGGTGTGGGTAGTGTGGCATCTCAGAGCAGGAAATAAAGAATGGAAAAGTGAGTTTCATAGGAGACCCCCAGGGGACACCCATATCAGAGTGGGTTTCAAAAGACAAATGGCTCTTTCTTAAGAGGAAAGCTCAGTTAGAATCAGCAGAGAAGCCAGCTCTGGAGTACAAGAATAACTGATTAAAATGATACCGAGTAACTTTTGCAATCTCTGAAAGAGGAGATGGAGCACCCTGAAGGACTTGAAACAGTCCCGAAGCCACTGCAGAACAGCCATGGAAACTATGCTGCAACTCCTTCAGAGCCCCTAGATTTTGTAGTTCTTACTAGTGTCCCATTTGTACCAGGGCCTCTGCATCATAACTACTGTTCTTCCAAAGGTGGGCACCTTCATTACCAGCCTTGCGTGATAGGTCACTGCCACATCATGTCCAGTGCCTTGTATTGCTTATTTCCAAACTGATAAATCACACAGAGACAGTGGATGGAAGGAGAGCAAGTCATGTGCCTGTACCCCGACCTGCAAAGGGGACTGGGATCCTGAAATTTCTGGCTTGTTTTGAAGAGGAAGGAATCACTTGGTAGGAAA